TTTTTTTTTGGCTGGGGGTGGGTTTGAACCCGTCACCTCTGGCATATGGGGCTAGTGCCCTACTCCTTTGAGCTACAGGTGCTGCCTTAAGTGCTTTTCTTTTTCTTTCTTTTTTTTTGGCAGGGGCTGGGTTTGAACCTGCTACCTCTGGCATATGGTGCTGGCACCCTACCCTTTTGAGCCACAGGCGCTGCCCAAGTGTTTTTCTTTTTTAGAGACAGAGTCTCACTTTAGTGCCCTTGGTAGAGTGCTTTGGTGTCACAGCTCACAGCAACCTCCAATTCCTGGGCTTAGGCGATTCTCTTGCCTCAGCCTCCCAAGTAGCTGGGACTACAGGCACCCACCACAACGTCTGGCTTTTTTTTGTTGCAGTTTGGCTGGGGCTGGGTTTGAACCTGCCACCCTCGGTATATGGGGCCAGTGCCCCACTCACTGAGCCACAAGTGCCGTACGTGTTTTTCTTTTTAGGAGGCTGTGTGAAAATGGACAATTCTCACTGATATGGCTCCCTTTGGGTTTTACATGGTAATATTACTGCCTGGAAAGTCTCTGCATCTGCAAATGCCACAAATGAAGGCATATGAGTACTTAATATCAAGAACATAACAGACTTTTAAAGAGTTAAGGCACAGTGGCTATGGCAACCTTGATCCAAATAATTAGTTTTGTTTCCTTTTTAGATTATAGAGTGTCTGCAAATTCCAAAATAGTTATTATCACAGCAGGTGTAAGGCAGCAGGAGGGAGAGAGTCGCCTTGCCCTGGTCCAACGTAATGTGGATATCATGAAAACAATCATTCCTACCATAGTTCGTTATAGTCCTGACTGTAAAATGCTTGTTGTTTCAAATCCAGGTGAGTCTTTTCGCTTTCCTATTGTTGTGTAATGCTGGCTTTTCCTACCATTCTTTTTTTTTTTGTAGAGACAATCTCACTTTATCGCCCTAGTTAGAGTGCCATGGCATCACACAGCCCATAGCAACCTCCAACTCCTGGGCTTAGGCAATTGTCTTGCCTTATCCTCTCAAGTAGCTGGAACTACAGGCACCTGCCACAACACTTGGCTATTTTTTTGTTGCAGTTTGGCCGGGGCTGGGTTTGAACCTGCCACCCTTGGTATATGGGGCTGGCGCCCTACCCACTGAGCCACAGGCACGGCCCCCATACCATTCTTTTTTTTTTTTTTTTTTAAAACCCAACTCCATTGAAATAATATTTATTCACAGTAAACTGCATTTATTTTTATTTTATTCATTTATTATTTTAGTTGTAGTTGTCATTGTTGTTTAGCTGGCCCAGGGCGGGTTCCAACCTGCCTGCCTCAGTGTATGTGGCCAATGCCCTAACCACTGAGCATGGGCGCTGAGCCTAAACTGCAGTTATATAAAATATACAATGCAATGAGTTTGGGTATATGTAATCACTGTTTTTTTTTGCAGTTTTTGGCCAGGGCTGGGTTTGAACTCACCACCTCTGGCATATGGGGCCAGCGCACTACTCCTTTGAACCACAGGTGCCACCCAATCACTTTTTTTTTTTGAGGGAGATTCTCACTTTGTCGCCCCAGGTAGAGTGCTATGGCATCATAGCTCACAGCAACCTCAGATTCTTGGGCTCAAGCCATTCTCTTAACTCAGCCTCCCGAGTAGCTGGGACTAGAGGCACCAGCCACAATGCTTGGCTATTTTATTTTTAGAGATGGGGTCTTATTGTAGCTCAGGCTGATCTTGAACTTGTGAGCTCAGGCAGTCCATCTGTCTCGGCCTCCCAGAGTGCTGGGATTACAGGCATCAGTCACTGCGCTCCATCTGTAGTCACTCTTGAAACCACCATCATAATCAAGATACAAAATGTTGATATTATTTCCGAAAGTTTCTTTGTGCCCCTTTGCAGTTCAACCCTCATTTCACCTCTAGTCTCATTTTGGGGGGATTTTATTTTATTTTATTATTTATTTAATCTTTTTTTGAGACAGAGTCTCACCCTGTTGACCAGGCTAGAGTGCTGTAATGTCATAGCTCATGGCAACCTCAAACTCTTGGACTCAAGTGATCCTCTTGCTTCAGCCTCCCTGAGTAGTTGGGACTACAGGCATGAACCCAGCTAGTTTTTCTATTTTTAGTAGGGACAAGGTCTCGTTCTTCCTCAGGCAGGTCTTGAACACCTGAGCTCAAGCAACTCCCCTGCCTTGGCCTCCCAGAGTGTTAGGATTACAGGTGTGACCACTGTGGCCAGGATTTTATATAAATGGAATTATGCTGAATATAATCTTTTCTGCCTGCATTCTTTCAACCAGTATAACTATTTTCGGATTTATCCTTATTGTTGGGTATATCATGACATTCCTTTTATTGCCAGAGAATACTCTTTTGTTTGTACATTTAAAATACTCCTTTGTTTATCTGTTCACCTGTTGATATTTATTTACATTATTTCCAGTTTGGGGCAATTATGAATAAAACAAACATGAACACTTGTGTGTAAATATTTGTGTGGTGGTATGTCTTTATTTCTTCTGGTTAATTACCTGGGAGTAACATAAGTGGGTTATAAGCTTTATTTTTCTTGAATTGTTATTTTTTAGAGATAAGGTCCCACTCTGTCACCCAGGTTGGAGTGCAGTGGTGCCATCATACCTCACTGTATAGTTCAGAGTGGGCTCAGGTGATCCTTTTGCCTCAGCTTTCCAAGTAGCCCCCCTTAGCACCTCGCACTGACATTGATTCATCAGATATTTTCTACTTCCTGCCAGAAGGAAGGAAGCTCAAGTGTATTTAGGGCATACTGTATGCCAGGCACCGTGCCAAATACTTTATATATATTAAGTCATTGAGTTCTCATAGTAACCCTGTGTGGGGTGGGGAGTGAGTCTCCCACATTACAGAAGAAAGGAAGGCTCAGATAAATCAGGAAACTTTCCCAAGATCACATGAGTACTAGTGGAGTCAGGATTCAAACCTCAATCTGTCTAATTCCTTAGCCCAGTGAGGACCTGGAGGCTGCTGAGCAAGAGAGGACATTGAGAGATGGAAATGACCTTAGGGGCCAGGTCACAAAGCCAGTTGTTTTGTTAAGAGCCAGCTCTGCATACCTCCCTTTCCTCTTCCCTATAAAAATAACCCGTGAGAGCTGGATGTGGTGGCTCATGCCTGTTATCCCAGCACTTTGAAAACAGGCCAAGGTGGGTGGATTGCTTGAGCTCACAAGTTCAAGACCCACCTGAGGTAGAGCAAGACCACCATCTCTTAAAAAAAATATAGCCAGGGGTTGTGGCAGGCATCTGTGGTCCCAGCTATTCCGGAGGCTGAGGAATCACTCGAGCCCAAGAGTTAGAGGTTGCTGTGAGCTATGGCACCAGGATACTCTACCGGGGGGCTACAAAGTGAGACTCTTTTTCAAAAATATAAATAGCCCCTGGGAACTCCTTGGAAGGTAGCAGAACACAAATAAGGGCAAGGGACAAGGGGAGGGTGGTTAGGAATAATGGAATGTCAGGGAGAGGAAGCTATCTAACAGGGTCTTTGTGATTCCAGAAAGACTGTACAAAAATTCTGGACAGTGAACAGAGTAAAAATAGAAATGCAGTGGCAAAAAATCAGCCATAAATGTATGGGTTTATTTCTAGATTCTCAATTCAATTTCATTGCTTGACATACCTATCCTATGCCATTAGCATGCTGTTTTGATTACTTTAGCTCTGGAAATCAGGAAATGTGAGTCCTCCAAATTTGTTATTCTTTTTCAAGATTATTTTGGCTGTTCGGAGCCCATAATGATTCCATATGAATTTTAAGATCAGCCTTTTGATTTCTGCAAAAAGAATAAAAAAAGGCTGGGTACAGTGGCTCATGCCTGTAATCCTAGCACTTTGTGAAGCCAAAGAGGGTTCATTGCTTGAGCTCAGGAGTTTGAGACCAGCCTGAGCAAGAGTGAGACCCAGTTTCTACTAAAAGTAAAATAATTACCTGGGCCTTGTGGGGAGTACCTATAGTCCCAGCTACTGGAGAAGCTGAGGCAAAAGGATTGCTCAAGCCCAAGAGTTTGAGGTTGGAGCTATGAGGGCACAGAAAATTTACGCAGGGCAACAGAGTGAGATTCTGCCTTGAAAAAAAAAAAGCTATTTGAATTTTGATAGAGATTGAATTGAATCTATAAATCACTTTGGGAAGTATTGCCATCTTAAAAATAGTCAGTTTTCCAGTCCATGAGCATGGTATGCCTTTCCATTTATTTAGGAGAGGTTGTCTTTAAATTTTTTTAGCAAAGTTTTATAGTTTTCAGTGTACAAGTCTGGTACCTCCTTGATTAATTTTATTCCTGAAAAGAAAGAAAATAATTCAATTCATAGTAGATAAAAAAGTATTCATTTTATCTACTATGAATTGAATTATTTTCTTTTTTTTTTTTTTTTGAGACAGAGCCTCAAGCT